CATATCTCACCTCAAATTATAATCCCCACATTAGGGGGGGACCTAGTGGGAGGTAATTTGATCAAGGGGGCAGTTTCCCCTGTGCTGTTATCATGAGTAAGTTATCACAAGAGCTGATGGCTTAAAAATATAGCACTTCCTCCCTTGCTCTCTTTCTCTCTCTCCCCTCTGCTGCCATGTAAGATGTGCCTTGCTTCCCCTTTGCCTTATTCCATGATTGTAAGTTTCCTGCAGTCTCCCCAGCCATGCAGAACTGTGAGTCAATTAAACCTCTTTTCTTTATAAATTACTGGGTCTCTGGTAGTTCTATATAGCAGTGTGGAAACAGACAATACAATTGCTGTAATTACTATCTTGTGATGAAATTGGTAAGTCATTGTTATATATCTGAAAAGTTTTAGGATAGCAGCAAAAGTTGACTACCTCAAGGAAACCAAATTATCACAGGCTTTAGAGTTCATTCAGGTAAGAAAAATGATTTTGATGTCACATGAGTTCCTCAAAGCAAAAGTGGTGAGATTAATCTGAATGTAGAGCTTTATTGAAAAGGAAGAACTATACATTATACAGAGTAACTTTAATCTACCTGTCGTTATATAGGAAATGTGAAAATATCTTATTGGTTGAGATGCACTTTGCAGGTCTTGCTTGTTTTTGGTTATTTTTCAAGATTTTAGAAGATCAGAAATTGAAAGACTATTCTTAGGGTGAGAAAAGTTCAAGGGAAGGACTGAGAACAATTCCATAAAGGCAAAAAAATATATATACTTTGTAATGAAAGCAAATTCCTGGTATGGCTTATTTACCTCCTCTTCAAAAATTTCTGAAAATGTAACTCACGAGTATCTAATGTCCACATTTCACTCTACCATATTCTTCCTGCCTACGCTCCAGTGCATATTTTTTTTTGTTTTCCTAGTATCACTTCATATTATTCTTTTAAAACGGAAAAAAAAGAGAAATAGAAACAAAGTATTACATTGGCTATAAAAAAATGGTGGTGGAAAAAATCCAAATTCAATAAGAAAATTTATCTAGCAAGAAATCTGCATTGTTTTTCTGTGTGTGGTGAGTAATAGCGAACTTAGGAATTATGCCAAATAAAAGTTAAAAAAACTCTGTGGCAATATTTGATTTATTTAAGTTAGAAATTTTGGAAAACAAAGATTTATCTATACTGTGTTGAAGTTTGCTCCACATAATGCATCTCTATTTTATTCTACTTATTTATACTGCACATTCCCAGTTTGAACTGGGGTTTTAGCTTCCCATAGTTTCCTAACAAATCTTGCACTTTTACAGCATTTTTGTATGTCAACTTTTGTTTATTTTTACTATAAATTAATGTGGCTTCTATGATCTATTTTACCCCACTCTCTGCTCAACTGCAGCTTCAGCTTCTTCACTCACCCCTCACATATATCTGCACTTTCTGATAATACAGTCTTCCCTTAGTATCCCAGGAAGATTGGCTTCAGGAATTCACCATCCCCCAACATAAAAAAATTCACACAAAGTCAAGTCCCACAGTAAGCCCTGCGGAATCTGAGGACACAAAAAGTCAGCCCTCCTATGCACGGGTTTTGCATCCCATAAATACTATACTGTTCATTCACCAGGTTGATAATGAGGAATCTGCTAATTGGAAAGGTTGCCTGAAAACTTTTTGTTTGGAAGAAATCTGCATGTAAATGGACCCAGGCAGTTCAAACTCATGTTGTTCACAGGTCAGCTGGATTCAAATTTCATGGATTCCTGTGAGCCAATGATTCCATTCCCTGAGACTGGATTCCCTGAGATTGTCCAAATCTCCCCTGAGCTTCAGACATACATATCCGGCTCTAGATGTACTAGTTAAACAGAACCCTAAAGTAAATGACTTTATAACCAGACTCATCAATTTGTTTCCTAACTCACCTCATCTCCTTGCATATTCTATTTTCAGTGAAATAATCTATTTTATGGTTTTCAAATTGCTTTTAGTCTACATACATAAAGCATAAGGTTTATGTCATGGAATGTTCCCTGCAAGTACACAAAAAGACATATTAAATATCTTATTTGGGAAGGAAATAAGAAAACTTATGAGATACATAAAATTATAACTTACAGCAGTGCTTAGTGGAAGTTTTATTGATGGGAATGCCTGTATTTAAAAAGGTGAAAGCAATAACAGGGAATCAACCTAGGTTTCCAACATCGGTGGACTGGATAAAAAAAACAAAACGTGGTACATACATACCGTGGAATACTACAGAGCCATATAAAAATAAAATCATGTCCTTTGCAGTTGCATGAATGCAGCTTGAGGCCATTACTCTAAGTGAGTTAACACAAGAACAGAAAGCCAATTATTACATGTTCTTATTAAAAGTGGGAACCAATATGGTTTGGCTGTGTTCCCGTCCAACCTCATTTTGAATTACCACATGTTGTGGAAGGGACCCTGTGGGAGGTAACCAAATCATGGGCGAAGGTCTTTCCCTTGATGTTCTCATGGTAGTGAGTAAGACTCATGATATTTTAGTTTTAAAAATGCGAGTTTCCCTGCACAAGCTCTCTGTCTTTGTCTACTGCCATTCATGTAAGATGTGACTTTCTCCTCCTTCTCTTCCGCCATGATTGTGAGGCCTCAGCCAGCCATGTGGAACTGTAAGTCCATTAAACCTCTTTTTCTTCCCAGTCTCGGATATGTCTTTATCAGTAGCATAAAAACCGACTAATACAGGAACTAACTCATGGACATAAACATACTGAAGTAGACACTAGAGACTACTAGAGTAGAGAGAGAGCCAGGGGCCAATCCTTGAAAACTATTGAGTACTATGCTCATTACCTGGGTGATAGGATCAATCATACCCCAAACTTTAGCATCATGCATATACCTATAAAACAAACTTGCACACTTACCACCTGAATCTGAGATAAAGGTGAAATATTAAAAAGAATTTTCATTAGCAGGAGAAAATTCTCAAACTAAGAACTTAAGTTTTAATTACAAGAAACCAGAAAAATCACATTAGATACACAGCAAAGAAGAAAAAATAAATGATAGAATTGGTATGAAAAATGAAATAAAAAATAAAAAATTAGGAAAATAAAAAATAAAAAAATTATAAGAAAACTAAAAGTTAGTAAAAAACAAAAATGAAATGGAAAAACTTTTAGCTAAACTGACCACACACACACACACACACACACACACAGAGAGAGAGAGAGAGAGAGAGAGAAAGAGAGAGGCGAGACAGAACTGTCTAGGAACCTAAAAAAACACCTTAAAGAACAGAAGGAAATTTTTGGGTATCACACAACTGATAAGGAACTTGCAATCAGAACATATAAAGTTCTCTTACAACTCAGTGCTAACTTAAAAAAAAAATTGAAATCTGTGCAGGATTTGAATAGACATTTTTCCATAAAAGATATATGATGATCATGAAAAGATGTTCAAAGCACATGAAAAGATGTTCAAAACTGTTAGTCATTAGGGAAATTTAAATCAAAACCCAAAGATACTATTTCACACCCACTTCGATGACTATAATCAAAATGATACAAAATCACAAGTGATGAGAATGTGGAGGGGTTGGAGCTGTCATTTATGACGTGAAAATATGAAATGGTGCAGCCACTGTGGAAAACAGTGTGGCAGCTTCTCAAAATGTTAAATATAGTTATCTGATGACTCAGCAATTCCCTACTTTGGTATATACCCAAGAAAACTGAAAATACGTCCACATAAAAAAGTGTACATGAACGTTCACAGAAGCATTATTCCTAATAGCTTAGAAGCAGAACGACCCAAATTTCCATCAAGTATGAACCAATGAACAATATGTGGTATACTCATACTACTGACGCTACAGCATGGAAGAACCTGAAGGCAGTTTGCTAAGGGAAAGAAGCTAGTCACACAAGGCCATGTCCTGTATGATCCCGTTTACAAGAAATGCCCCAGCACAAGCCAATCTATAGAGACAAATAGTAGATTAGACAAAGCTATAGAGATAAAGAGCCTTGGACTGGGTGAGGGATTATGAGGAGTTACTGCTAATTGGTAATCCATTTCTTTTTGAGGCAATGAAAATGACCTCCCTTAGATTGTGATGATGGTTGCACAGGTTTGTTTTGTTTTGTTTTGTATACTAGATACCAATGAATTGTAAAAAAAAAAAAAAAAATTCCAATGTGTCATCTTTAAATGGATGTTTAAAATAATGTACCAAACTTCAGGTTTTTTTTTTCAGCAAAAGAAATCTATAATTATAGATTTCTCATCTTAATGATTTAAGACTCAAGTCAAAATTCAAGCACTTTATGTAAGAGATAACGGTACAAATGTATATGTCTTGTGATACCATCCGGTATTTTCCCATAGCTTTTCATTTTCAAACTGACCTCAAATAAATAAACACAACTTTTTATTACACTTACTGGCCAGCACATCCTACAGCAAGAAATTCAAAGCCTGCTTCCCCAAGCCAGTTCAAACAATTTAATTGTCTGTCATCATTCCTATTAAATTTTAGAAGCTTTCATAGTAATTTTCAGAAGTTTTTACAGATTTAGGTTTATGGTTTTCTATACACTGGTTATAGAAAATACATCTTGAATTATTTTATTTGAAAATTACATATTGAGGAATTTCACTTTCTCATCCTGTTTAATTCCTAGGCTCACAATGTAACCATAGAGCTTTGTGTTTTTCTGCTCACTGGAATGTAATTATTAGTTGGCTAAACACACAATAAATTCAAATGATTTCTTGATCTGATAAGAAAAAAATGAAAGAAGTGATAGTATATACTTTTCTCATTGTGCTACTATTTTCAAAAATAACTACAATTTATTATTTGAGACTTAATATATTATTTTCACATTATCTCTAATAATATAAATTAGATTATGATTTATGTATTAACACAACTGCATTGAGAAAAATAAATAGAACTCACTCTCAACAATAAACTTATTCGCTTACATTGCCACAAATGTCTTACCTTTGTCTTGGCAGACTGATGAGGGGCTGTTTATGACACCTCTTGCTAAGGCTAAAAAGCTTGTGTACAATTTTCTGTGCCTTTAGGAAAAGTTGTTTCATGCTGTTCTCCAGTTGTTCATAACGGCGCTGAAAATTAGAATCCATTGTCCACAAATGCATTATAGTAGATGTGTTGAGGAAATAATTCATAGGTAGCCTTTTCATAAATAACTTGAATTCATCTGAAAAATGTCAAAATTCAACACTTTAATTATGAAATAATTATTTCCCATTTTACCAAAACATATATGTCAATATTAAGAACAAATAAATACACAAAATTAAGAATAAATAAATATGGTGCATCATTTGTGAGTAGCAAATTAATAGAAGATGGGAGATATAGATGCCTTATAATTATCTTCTTTTGTGTTCCCTTTAAAATAGAACTTCCATGAATGAAGATCACCAAAATAATTTGTGCTAGAGCAAATAGGGCAGAAAGTTTAAGTTCAACTTAATTTTTCTGTGTGCCTCTTTTGATGGCATTTCAATGAACATTCTTCAATACACAGTCATCATTCATCTGGCTTTCAGTTGTGGCTTTGGTATTAATTATCCTTAGTATATTTAAAGATCTTTTGAGAAATTTTCATTAACTCAGAATAGAAAATATATAAAACCACTACTAAATAATTTTATTAGAGTTTAAAGAAAAAGAAAAACCCTTTTAAATATAAAATCTTAAATTTAAAGTCTGTAATCCCAGCACTTTGGGAGGCCGAGGCGGGTGGATCACGAGGTCAAGAGATCGAGACCATCCTGGTCAACATGGTGAAACCCCGTCTCTACTAAAAATACAAAAAATTAGCTGGGCACGGTGGCACGTGCCTGTAATCCCAGCTACTCAGGAGGCTGAGCCAGGAGAATTGCCTGAACCCAGGAGGCGGAGGTTGTGGTGAGCCGAGATTGCGCCATTGCACTCCAGCCTGGGTAACAAGAGCGAAACTCCGTCTCAAAAAATAAAAATAATAATAATAATAAAATAAAATCTTAAATTTAAATAAAATTTTAAATATAAAATTATAATGTACAACTCTACACCCTAATTATAACGGACCTTATTTGTAACTGACTTATTTGCAACTCTTTGTAACTGATTATATTCTAATTTGTTATGATTAATCATTTAAAACATAAGTACATGCTAAAGAAACAATACTAAAAAAAATTTAAAGCTGAAATATGGGCTTTTGTTTTTGAGTCAATATTGTGCTGTCTTTTCAACTGTCTGGTTTAACCAACACTAGGAATAAAAGCTGATGTTACACTAAAATAAACAAAATCAAGAAGATCTAATAATTATCTGAGCACAAAAGATAGTTGAAAAAATTATAGAAAGGTGGAAACAAATATAAGCATATACAAAATGTATTACATACATACAATAGAATATGATCCAGCCATAAAAATGAATGATACATGTTTAGGATACTACACTCAGCGAAATAAGCCAGACACAAAAGGACAAATATATGATTTCCCTTTTATGAAACATCAGTACTGGGAAATGCAACTTTTTAAGTCATAGTGAATTATATTCATGAACATTGGGGTTATTTTTTCTAGATCAAATAAGTACAGATTTTGGTTATTTTTTCTAGATGAAATGGCATCTTTTGGGCATTGAAGGAATAGACTTTAATATAAAAAATAGGGAAAAGAAATAACAGTACTTTTTACACACACAAAAAATGAGAAAACATTTTATAGGGTATATCTGTCCAACCATTTTTTTTTAAATATCTGGAAGCAGTCTCTCTCTCTCTATCCCCCAGTCTGGAGTGCTGTGGCATGATCTCGGCTCACTGCAACCTCCACCTCCCAGATTAAAGTGATTCTCATGCCTCAGCCTCCTGAGTAGCTAGGATTACAGGCACCTGCCACCACAGCCAGCTAATTTCATAATTTAATAGAGACAGGGTTTTGCTGTGTTGGCCAGGTTGATCTCCAACTCCTAACCCGGAGTGATCTGCCCGCCTTGGCCTCCCAGAGCTCTGGGATTACAGGTGCAAGCCACCGCACCCGGCCAAAATCATTTTTTAAGTAAGCAGAGTATAACTAATCGATACATTTTATAATTCCTGTTTGTTTATTTATTTATTTATTTATTTATTTATTTACTTATTTTTGAGACCATGTTTTGCTCTTGTTACCCAGGCTGGAGTGTAAAGGTGCCATCTCGGCTCACTGCAACCTCTGCCTCCTGGGTTTAAGTGCTTCTCCTGCCTCAGCCTCCCCAGTAGCTGGGATTACAGGTGCACACCACCATACCAAACTTTTTTGTATTTTTTTTTTTAGTAGAGATGGAATTTCATCTTGTTGGCCATACTGGTCTCAAATTCCTGACCTCAGGTGATTCACCAACCTCAGCCTCCCAAAGTGCTAGGATTACAGGCCTGACCCACCCTGTCCGACCTATAATTCAAATTTGATTGTATCCTATATACTTTTTGGTCCCGTCTGTCTCTTGTGAAATTCCCTCTTTTGAATAAAGAGTTTACGCATTGAAATTGGAAAGCATTTCTTGAATTATTCACACGGCAGATGCCACTACTTTGAAAACTACTCATTTCATTGTCATTGAATAGTTTTGAAAGCCTTTATTGTATTGTAGGTATACATATTTTAATTAGGTTCACTGTTTGTTAAATAGTATTGGGACAGGTTTTAAATTTGTAAATTTTATTGAAGATAAAAAATATTTTAAAATTCATTTTTTAACTGAACTGCAGTGAATATAACAATGTATGACAGCTGAAAATTGCCAGTACATAATTTCTAAGAAATAAGGTTTTAACATGACACCTGAATAATTACTTCATTATCGAGTCATTAAGAGTCAGCACTGTCACCCAAAACATTTATTGAACACCTGTTGTGCAGAGAACGTACAGATGTTTCAGTCTATGACAGCAAGTATTGATAAACCTTTCTTTTAATTTTAAAAATGACTAAGACAAGCAATATTTTCAGATAGTATCTGAAATTCACTCTACTTAGAAGACCCCAGAAATATTCATGTGGAAATCTTTTCTTTTACTGTTGGAAATAAGTAAAATTTTTATTTATAGAATAGAGAAATAAAATTTGAATGACACATTAGATTTATAAATCAATAATTTACATAACTAAAAGCAAATAATACCTTATTTTCTACATAGCTTGGGGAATTACTATAAGATAAAATGTTATCTGGCATCCCTAACAATTGTGTTTTATCTTTGTAGTTATCTAAGTGGAAAATACACAATAGCCATGCTTTTGGGGATACATAAATAAGCCTGTGAAAGAAAACAAATTAATATCATATAAAGATAACCCAGAAAAAGTAAATCTTAATATCTAGGTAACTAGAGATATTTTATTCTAAAAATATCTCCATGTTAAGTATATATCAAGTGAGTACTTTTCATAGCATAATTGTGAGGACTATAGAGAAACAAAATAACGAACCGCAATGACAGTAATAATGGGAATAAACATCACCTAAACTGGCAGTAAGTTACAGTCAGTCACAGTCTTCCTAAAACGAAAATGAAGCAGATCATAATACATAGGGAAATGTATCGTATGAAAGAATTCTCTGTAGGTAAATAGATCAGCCTAGGTCACAACTTTCAATAAATTACAGACGAATAACTACGCATAATGTAAACTCTCTGGACCACTACCACTTCTCCACTAAAAACTGAGTAATTTTGAAAATAGTTAAAGGTTTGTTGTGATTTTTTCCTTTTTCTGTCGACAGAAAATCTTATAACACTGCTATCTACTTAGCTTATTTTGAAACTATTAGCTATAAATATTAATTCAATTAATTATCCCAATAATTCTTCACAAAAATTTTATTTAAGCAATTTTATATGCAAAATGCAGATGCTTGGTTTCATAACTGTTAGCAAAAGGTTTTATTAATGCTACTATATTTACACAATTATCTTATGTATTTATATCTTTTTTATTTTCGTGCTTTGCAGTTGAATAAAACGGATGAGAGTGGGAAACTGAAAATTTTGGGGAAGTTAAAGACTCAGACTCAAGTACATACATCCTGATTGGTATTTTTGCCCTTATTGTAAATAACCTTGACCAATGAAGTTGACCGTATACTTTCAAATGTTCAGAACCTCTATTCAGAACTGCTTTAGAATGTATTTTCAAGGATGTTCTACAAATGTAGAAACACTTTGTAGAGTTTTGAGGGTCTATAATTTACTTCCTGAATTATGTAAAAAATTAATCAGCTTTTCATTACTTAGAAATAATTTCTTGAGTTATAAATCTACCAAAATAACTCAAAACAGAAGCTTCTGCCATTGGTAAGTAGGAATATGAACAGGGAGTACTGAAAGAGGAAACTTGTGCTTGCTTTTATGATTGTTATTAATACATATTATTATGCTAATTATATTAATATTTAAATTAATACTGTGAATAAATATAAAAATAAGCACATTACTACTAAATTATCAATACATCAGGTACATACCTTATGTTTCAGACATGGATTTTTATTTATTATTTTTTAGAGAGAAGGTTTCACTCTATTGCCCAGGCTGAAGTACAGTGGCATGATCATAGCTCATTGTAACCGTGAACTCCTGGGCTCAAGCAATCCTCCGGCCTTACTCACGCCAGCAGCTAGGACTACAGCCATGCATAACCATGCTCAGCTCATGGTTTTTTCTTTTTTTTTTTTTTTGTGGTAGACATGGGATCTTACCATATTGTACAGGGTCAAACAATTCTCCCATCTCACCAATCCTAATGATTGGGATCACAGGCATGACCTACAGTGCCTGGTTTCAGACAGTTAAATACAGTGACATTATTTAGCTACTTGTTAGCCTAAGGTAAAACTCTACTGGGTCACATTTTATGTGTGTGTGTGTGTGTGTGTGTGTGTGTGTGTGTGTATGTTTAAATCAATGTACATATTGGTATAAATTAAAGTATCATTTCAGTAGACATGACAATGCAATGTGGATAATAATTTAATTATGAAAGCACAGCAACAGCTGCACTATAACACAAAAATATGTAACATCGAACAAAGTATGTAATGGATATGGTAGGGGCAAATAAAATAAAAGGAGAAATAGAAAAAACATGTCAGATATGTATGAAGAACCCATGTAAACATTTGATTTTACACAGAAAAAAAATGATCATTAATGATTTTATGATATTACCAATCCAATGCCTTTAAATTCATTTCTCCTACTTATGTTTGTGAACACAGGATTTCTTGGAAAATGATATGTGTTCATAAGAAATTCTAGTAACACAAAATTTTTGTAAGCAATAAACTAAAAACATATTACTTTCTAATACGAAATGCGGAACTATAGGGCTTATCTATACGTGAACACATAGCAAGTATGCTCTGTAACATTGTTTTATGTCTTAATTTTTTTGTGTGCTTTTTGCTGTTGTTTAGCCTATGGTTGTTTAGACTCAATACTAAGTACTAATTCCAAAGCTGACAAATAGATATGGAGCCACATTTTCATGTTACTGCCCAACCACAACACCCTCTGATAAAGCTATTTCTTGCTCCTTTAGAGCCATATTTTCCTGGAGTGTGGGTCCTCTGTCTTCTGATTATCCGTGGCAAAAAAAAAAAAATTTCTAGCAAATAAGTTAATCGAAATCCTTGACAATAAAGAAATACTGGGTTTAAGTCGGTAAGATACAAAATTGGCAAGATACGAAAGAAGTGGGAATGTGAGTGAGAAGACTCAAGTCAAGAAAAGTTGAGACAGAAATTCCAGGCAATCAGTGTCCTCAATAGCAGAAAGTTACCAAGGGCTGAAATGGCTTCTGATCCTCCAGGGAGCGCTAGTAACACACAAATTTTGACCCACTCTGTAACCCTTACAGAATTGATTTTTACTTTTGCAAACCTTTTTTCTCCTAACATTTCTAAGGTACTATTTCAATGATTTGTATCAGTTTCAAAATTCCCCAACTTCTACAGTAAATCACTGATACGACTTTGAGTGGCCACATATCAATGTAAGTCTATTCAAACCATTCTATAAGCCACGGGTATAGAGTTTACACTGAAATTGACCAAATACTATAATGCTGCATAAAGTAAATGGCAAGCCCGTTCAATAGCTTGTGAACGGACCAATTTTATGAGACTACAAAGCGACGGGTACACGAGGGTATAAATCAGAAACAGATTCGAATTTCTTAGTAGCTGCCTAGAAATAAGGTGTGCTCTTTCTGTTTTATTTTTCTCTGAAAGATGCATCATGCTTTATATTAAAGCATTTCAAAACATCAAGCCAATTAATCTGTCCTTCATTGGCTTGCCCTGTTTATGACCCCATTCAACTGTTTGAGAAATTACTTAAATAGAGGCTTATGTCTTAGAAGCTGGAAAACCCAGGCCCTCACTGTTCCAGTGCCCTTGCAGCTACAGAGGAAGTGAGTGTGTCCATAAACTAGAAGGAACAGGTCTACCACCCAGATTTTGATCTTAAGCTGTTAATGCAAAGACAAAGAGGGTGGCTAGAGATATTCTCTCAGGAGATGATGTTTCCAGTAGTAAGGGTAGTGGTTACTTCCATATGGTGCTTCATTGCAGTTAGCAGTGTTGACCTCACTAAATAGGTCTTATACATTTTTTTTTTTAAAGACAGAGTCTCACCTTGTTACCCAGGCTGGAGGGCAGTGGTGGTATTTTGGCTCACTACAATTTTGCTGTGGTGTTTCAGCCTCCTGAGTAGCTGGGATTAAAGGTGTGTGCCACCACGCCCAGCTGATTTTTTTGTATATTTGGTACAGATGGAGTTTCACCATGTTGGCCAGGCTGGTCTTGAAATCCTGACTTCAGGTGATCTGCCCACCTTGGCCTCCCAAAGTGCTAGGATTACAGGTATGAGCCATCTCTTCAGGCCTATGGAAAATTTTTTACTGTTTCCTGTGTAGCACATGAGTAGGTTTCCCTATTTTTCTTGGTGATTTGATGTGTCATCCAGAATCCCTTAATGAATTTATCCAACTAAGTCATATACAGCCTGTTTTCCTTACTTACAGCAAAGAATCTGGGCTTATACAGGTAAAGATATCAGAAGTGGTTTGGTAAAAGTTTCTAAAGAAACGTGACAGCATATTTGGTTGGTTTCCTACTGACTGGAACAAAAAAGCTTTATACATCTATAAAGGGTGGAATTTTGACAACAGAAATTCTACCTCTGCTCACCTACAATGAAGTGCTTGTTGCAGAAATGGCATTTGGAACTATATGCCTGCATATTAATTGAATGAAGGGCATGAAAAATTCAGACTGTGGGTGAGTTTACTACTAACAGAGATGGTTTGCTTAAATGCCCCAATTCCTATCCATTCAAAGCGCAGAATGATTGTGAGACTTTCAAAGACTGTGCTAAAAAAATTTTTTACCTGTTGCAGCTGTAGGGCTTCAAAACAAACTCTGACCCCAAGATTGAATTTACATTCCTTTCAGGTCTGTCATGTTCAAGTTACAAACAACCGTGACTGGAGAGGCATGGGAACCTCAGAACTGAAAAGGAGATGTGTGGGATAACTGCAGTTGACTGAAAATAATTTAAACCAGGAACTTTTGCTTTCCTGCTCCCACCCAGCAATGCGGCACTTCTTGCCCGGTTTAAAGGGCTAATCTCATCTTACCGTATTCAGACATCGCAACGATCTTAATCAAAGGAGTGACCATCATCGTAAAGCCAAATCTTACCATGCTTGTCATTCCCCAGGGGAGCTTATTGAAAATATTCTAAGAGAAGGCTAATTTTCCTACAGATTACCAAGATTTTGCTCATTTTTATTGGAAGACAAGGCATTAAATGCATTGGTAAAAAGAATGCTAGTATCTTCAAAGAGTGCTGTATTGGCGGTTTTCTATAGGATAGGGACACTAGAGTGAAAATCTGTGTGAAATCAGTTCAGCTCTGACTTCAATAAAGATAAAACTACCCTCTGTACTGAGGTCCGGTAGCAACTGTTAGCCCTCAAAGGCACAGTGGGCATAGGTGTTGTAATACGTAGAAAATTCAATATTCTACTTAAAAGTTTAACCTGTAGAAATTTTGCATTTACTAATCAGATTATGACCCCATGACAAACACAAGACCAGTGGCTTGAGGTCAGATTTAATTTGTCCCATTAAAATAATACTACTACTAATAATAATAACAACACATAGGTCTGGCAACAAAGGCCTGGTTCAAATCATCATATTTAGAAAGCTGTTCTATCAAATTTGCAGCCCTAAATCACCCCTGAATCATTTCAAAGACCAGAACTCCTGTATCACAGATTACTAGGCAGGGCAAATATTCTACTTGAATGATGAGTGATAATTTCGGGGGGTATGCTACGATATTCAGGAAATCACAATGTGGTTGTGTAAGAATCAGGTAATAAATTCAATTCCCCCATATGCCTTTCATATTAGGCCAATAAGGACTGTAAGCCATAAGATGCTTGCTTTCCAATTATTTCAGTAAAAAATTATAATAGAAGAACACTGGGTGCATAAGCTATTATGGAGTAATATCAATTAAGGCAAAAATACAAAGTGAAGCTTCTTGTTTCTGCTAATAACGTAAATCTAGAGTCACATTGCTTGCTTTTCATGCTTGATACAATTCCAGGAATTTGGGAAACTTGCAGCCCTTGAAAATTGTGAAGGGAGTATTCATATTCCATCTCCAATTAACTCAGTATTTTGGCTAAGGCTTCAACATAGAGTTTTTCTAATTAAAACTGCTATTCCTGATGTGGTAGCTTTACCAGTGGCGTGATTCTTGGCACCAGGGATAATGCTTCCTCTCTGGTATAAACTGTTTTCTCTATAACTGTAAACAGAGAATATCAGGAACGGTTTTTCCTTCATATGTCAGTCACAAGAGTTAAACATTCGCATTGTATTCTGGGGTTAAGTAATTTCTCAGCATCTGTGCTACAATTTATTTTACAAGGATGTAGATCATCTCATTGTGCCACAAGACACATTTTGTTAATGACCATAATACTGAAAAATATAAACTGTGAAAGATGTTAAAAAAAACAAAACACCGGCAAGTAGCAGGTATTCTAGCTGGCATGAGGATTGAAAATAAATGTTATCTACATTGAGACTCTGGTGATTCTATGCACATTTGGATTTCTTCTTCAAAATGAAGAACAAGTAACTTCTTCATGTCCCCTTACTAACAAAGATGTACAAATGCTGGAAGCTGCATAAAATGATTTCCCTGGTGACAGTATTGATAATGATGACTTCAGTGGTCTGTATTGGTGTGGCAGATGTGCCAGCTGCAGTTCTTTGGCTCCTCGATGCCCTCAAGAGATTGCTTCTGCTATTGTGATTTCGGGCTTGTTCCGGGCATAGGGTCTGAGCCAGCACCTCCAATCCTCCTGTTGATTCCGTGAACTATCCAATCCAATGTCTTTAAATAAATTCCTTTTCTACTGCAGTGAGATTCTGTTCTTGCAAGAATGCTGACTGATACAGCTAACTGAGGCCTCAAGGGCAATCATAGTCTGCAGTTCAACAAGATTTGAACAAATATTTCTTGAATGTCTACTGTGTACCAATCACTGTGCTAGTTGAGGGTTAAAACCACAGTATTAATAATTATTACTGCTATATTAATAGTAATTTTATCAGAATTTTGTTGAGATTTTTTTGACGAAATTATATAATTATTATGAAAACTTAACGGTTAGCTATTATTTTCTTTTATAATTTATTTAGTGTTTTTCTATGTGCTGTGCTCAGCAATTTACATGGATTATCTCATTTAATCCTTACAACAGTCCTAGGAGATGGGTACTTTCGCTGATGAGAAAACTTCCCTAAGCAAGGTTCAGCTGCTCAAAGTGACAGTTATTAATTAAAGCCCAGAACAAACCAACTCTGAGAAAAGAAAGGCTCCTGCTTTAATAAACGTAAACTATTGTAGAGTTGACAGAGAAATAAAATTATGATTCCCTACACTTGAAGGGAGCTCTTGTTTGGTAGACGTTTATAAACATTATCATATCCAATCTCAGAATAACCGTGCGGTATGACAGTCTGGGTTTTTGAGATGTGGTGTAAAATAAATTTGAATTATAGGATCATTGCCAGAGTAACCTATGAGAGGAAAATAATAGACCTGAGGAAACATAAAAGGGAAGATAACTTTATATTTCTGTGAGGATCAGGACAATTTTTTTTTTTTTTTGTATTTTTCCTTTGCAAAAACCTAAGACAGAATATCACGTATACTATGAATTAAGTATACATTTCTTAAATGTCTTAACCAGTTAACAAGATTCAGAAGGAAATGGCTGAATCTAAATAGAAATATCTACAGAACAGTTCATGTGAAAAAGCAGAGCTTAGTCACAGAAAATATGAAGCCCCGTTTTATGTGTCATGGGCCACGAATGACCCGTGGGGAAAAAAACCTTGAAGTAAAATATGTATTACAGTGCTAACCCTTAATACTAACATGGATACCGAGAATCCAGGTTGAAAGCAAACTGCAAGATAAAAACATAGATACATTCCTTAACTTACGGATAAGAAAATGGCAAAGGAAGTTTGGGTGGAAAAATTACAATGTGTGTAAACTGCAGATCGATGAATTATTAGTTGAAATATCCTGCAATAACCTGCGATCATTGGCTATAACCAAAATTAGTAGTACATATTCATGACTACACAAGTAAAATTCATGTTCAGTACGTTTTAAGTCTTTAGCATTCTTCTAGGCCGTTAACAGTCTTAACTCTGTACCTCAGTTATTGCTGTAATGCCTGCTGTATTAAAACAGTAATCATGACTTAGGTATGTTGAGTGCGTCTTTCCAAGTGTGATACCTCCTAGGTAAGGCCTAGAGAAAGGCTGCAATATTTGCCTACCAGATCAAACTCAGTTGAAAGCATGTACCCACTAGCAGATGAGAAATCCAGCTAGAGAGACGGTGGTGACACATAATCCCAGAGGAGGGATTTTTCTGCTGGCCTAAGGGGTCAGTGTGGTTGACTAGATGCCCCTCATAGGTCACTGGTTTCTTATTGGACATAAAGAAATCAGGAGATGTACACAAGCATATTGCTGGTTTTGATTGGTTGGTTGCTTGTTTGCTTTTATTAAATAATCAACAGTATGTTGATCAACACCTAATGGAGAGAGAGTTGGTGGAAAACACTCCACACCCTTTGAAGAGCAAGTAATAATACCCTCAAAGAAAAAAACTCTTTCTTTTAAATAGTAAATACTTGCTTGGCCCTAGTCCCTCTCATAGGCCAGATATTAATTTTTGCTCCTTTTCCCCAATATAAATGGAGGCCAAATAAGTTGAGTGATTTCCCTAGGAATAAAGATCTACAGAAAAGTTAAATTAGTACTTAAACTAAGAAATTTCATTCATAAGTTGTCTTTCACATTATGTTGCTACCTGAAATGTTAGATATGTTAACTGAAAATGTGTAATAATTATTAAAATAATACTAATTCACATATTGTGTAACTATTAGGAAAGTTAAGAAAAAGCATAAAAATATTATCCACTAGCCACACTGAGTATTTCTACATACTACTGGGAAGAATAGGGAACTTGTCAATGATTTTGCCCCATGATATTCGGCTGCAATCTGATTTTTAAAAATTTTTTCTTCTTGTCACACCCAGTGGCTCATGCCAGTAAACCCAACACATCGGGAGGCCACAGCAGGAGAAGTGCTTGACACCAGAAGTTTGAGATCAGTTGGCACAATATAGTAAGACCCCAACTCTACAATTTTTTTTTAAATTGCCCTGTTGTGGCTGTAGTCCCAACTACTCAGGAGGCTGGGGTGAGATAATCACCTAACCCTGGGAGTTTACAGTGAATGGTGATTGCACCACTGCACTCAAACTGGGTGAGGGAGCAAGACCCTATCTCAAAATTTTTTTAAGAAGTCTTCCTTGTAGTGGTTTTACATGTAATGGAAGTGCCTACTAGATGAAAAAGAAAAACAATGTGACTAAATTTTTGGTAAGTCAATATCAGTGCTTTGGGTGACAAATAAATGGCTAACTCCTTATATACTAGTTAAATTTATTCTCAAATAATTAAATATTGGCTTTTGTGTACATGAGATGCTATGCTCTTTATTTTTATCATGTTATGTTTATAAATGAGTTGCCATGTTTCTTAGTTGTTGAAGACTTTTTTCTCCGGATTGAATTAATCAAAGGTGGTATGCGTTATACTCTTCCATACAGTTTCTATAGTATTACTGAAATTTGTCAGAAAATGAACTTTATTGAATAAAAACTATATGTGATGCTTCTAATTGGTCATGTTTATTGATTCCAAATTAAAACATCTCAGACTGTGGCATTAATAATTTACAGATAATTGGCAACTGTGCTAACTTGTTTATCATGAATTTGGCACCATTGCCATTAGTCTCAAGCTGGGATGTTTCCCCCCATCCTCCTCCTTAGGCAATTCCAGTTTACACTTTATCAATAACAGAAAGTCACGTGGGATGCGGAAGGCTGACAGAAGTGGGAGCCATCATCCTCAGAAGTTTATGATAAGGAATATATGACATTTGAACATAGTCTTTCCCAAAATGCAGATATGATGGCTCCCACAAACAGATACAACAGCTTCCACAGAAATGGTAGCATGTCCAAGAACAGCAGCTTCCAAATACCTCCCCAAGGTTCCCCCTTCACAGTGGCCAGATGCATGCAGACTCTTGAACCTGTCTGCAAACTAGGTTTTCTATCCATGCCAGGGCTTTGAAATTAAGAATGTTTCTCTAGTTCTCTTTCCACCTTCTTCATTTCCTTTGTCTTCTCTACATCTTCATGTGAGCACTAATTCCCATTTCAAACCCCTTATTTCTATCATATTTTTGGATATTTATTTCCTGTTTAAACTCAGATGAACAAATCAAGTAATGCAGCTGCTGTTAGTTTTCTATTACACACATTCTGCACTCATTACAACCGGAAGACTGACTCTGTTGTGGATAGCAATGGATCCGGATATGAAACCACTTGCAGTATCGGGTGTATACATAGCAACCCATGTGGCCAATGAGAAAAAAGCAAGAATCTGTATATGAGGGAAGGGATGCATTCATGGCTAATGTTTTCAGTTTAAGATTTAAGGTCTTCGCCTTACTCCCTATTGAGGTTTCCTGTGTCCTCTGGAGTAAAATGCAGACCCAAAGCTGGAGCAGCCACATTGTAACCATGAGGAAAAAGTCAAGAGAAAGGGAAAGACACTGGACTTCATCTCCTCAAGCCCTTGACGTGGCACTGGCACTACCATTTCATTGCCGTTATACACAGATAGTTGTCATTGAAAATGAGCAAGAAAGAGCACGAATGGAAGCCTTTAAAGGTCCGAAGGTAGTGAGTTATCTCGATTGTTCACAGTCAGTTACAGATCAAACTCCTTGTTCTACTCTTTCCCCCTTCTCACTACTGCACTTGACTAGTCAAAAAATAAATAAATAATTAAATAAAGCAATAACTCCTAAACTACTTATCTCAAAAGCCTTTATGTTATTAGAAATTATTGAAGATTCCAAAAAGCTTTTGTTTGTGAAGATATTTTATAGGCATTTACCATATTAAATATGTACTTATTAATGTAAACAATTTACATAAAAGTAACATTATATGAATGAAATGCATATAAATAACACATTTTTAGGAATATAACTGTATTTTCCCCAAAAATTTTTTTGTGAGAATATTAGCATTGTTTCAATTTTGCAAACCTCTTTAATGTCTCACATAAAAGAAAACATCTGGCTTCTCATATCTGCTGCTATATTCAATTTTTCACAGTATTATATACCATGTAGCTTCTAGACCCCTCCTCTGTACACTTGTAAGATAATAAAAGTGAAAACTGAAGGAAACAACATCTCTCTGTTATTGTAACAAGGGACTTGATGCTGTGAACTGGCTAAAAGTATCTCAGGGACCAACAGATTTCTCCTGATACACTTTGAGAAATGCTGCGGCAAAAAATAATAAAACAATCCCCTTTCCTGTTTGTAAGTCACTTTAAAATTTACATGTTATTTCAATTAAAATCCTCGTCAGTCCTGTGATGTAAATCAGAGTAGCTCAGCTCTATCGACTCCCTTTTTATTGTCAAGGGAACTAAGCTTCAAAGTGATAACATTTTCTCCAACATCTAGTATCTAATACAACGTTGATACCTACTCTGCCTTGTCTTTAATGTGTCCACGATGTCATAGTAGTTCTCGTCTGTGGAAAGTAATACTGAAGGGATAGATAGAAAAAATCTGAAACTGAAAAATTTACTTCTGAGTATCTATGAACATACATTCAATTATAAACACATAAATACAATATTTATAATATATTATATACATTAGCCTATCTATACATACAAATGGCCAAACTCAAAGTTTATATATTTTGTTTCAAATGTAATAATACGTAACCAATTTTTAAAATACCTGTGCAGTTTTTATATATAATAGCATTTAAATAATATAATGAAAAGCAGCACCAATTTCATAGTATTTGTAGTATGCTACCTAATCAAAGAAAAGGGAGTCTGTGATATTCCTAAGAGTTTACATGTAATGTTTCATTTTTCAAACCAACTAACATATTAAAGAGAAAATCCTATATGAGTTCATATTTAACAACTATGGATCCTCTCAATAATTTTGCCTCTTTCTACAGATTGTCTTGGAATTTCATGAGGCAGAGAAACAAAACTTGGACAGTTATCATGTGATTTTTCCCCTGAAACACACCATCAAATACTAAAATTGGAGCCTTCTATTTATTCTATCTACTGCAGAGCTGAGCTTCTCTGGCCACTGCTCTGAGAATCACCATTACTCTCCTTTGTGGAGAACTCTGAGAGCCAGTCATAAAAGATATAAATGGTACCGCATGGCCTGAGAGCCTGATGCTTTGTAGACTCCTGGCATTGTGTATAAGAAAAGTGGTCTAATAATAAAATCATGGCAATATTACTCCTTTCTCACAACAACATTTTCAGTAGTAATCTAGGCAATAAAGGTAATAGCAAGTCTAACACCACTGGCAATATTAAATTGAAATAGCAAATTGCAAAGCGAGTGAAATTGTTGTCAGAGGGATTGATCTAGAGTAGAACCAATATTTTAGCTTCCAAATAAATGTTCAATAAAATGATGCTTCACTATTGTGCAAACATTATAATGGTGATTTACCAAAGATATATTACTTTAAAAAAGTCTTCTGTTCTTTCATAGACTGGGGCACAATAAAAATAACTAAAATGAAAACAGAGTTATTTTTACATTCTAATGAGTTTTAGGTATTCATAATACATTACTTAACTCATCCTACAAACTAGACTCTCAATATCCAGGAATGTTATTTTTATTTATATTGGAGTCCATGGAAACATTAGATCTTAGCCAGAAAGGTTGCTGCTTCTCTCTACAAGAAAATGCAGTCAATAGGTTTAGAAATGATTCTTTATATATTAAAAACTAAAACTTTCTTCATGTTATTTTATGTTAAGAAAATATTTAAAAAGAATTATTATATATGTTTTACTCCTTACAGGACATGAAAAGCATAACAGAAATCTGTCATCTATCTATCATCTATTATTTATCTGTCTAGCTATCATAGATTAACACTGGTTACATTTCCTGTAACTTTCAGAAGATGGTATATTTTGCAGCAGTAACACAACGTCTCTTATGATTAAAACAATTTATTTATTTCTCACGTTACATGCCTCAGTGAATCAGTGTTGGGCTTTGCAGGATCTTGGATCATGGAGGTTCTATGTTCTAACTGCACACACTGGAACATAAGGCCTTCCTGGTTTTCACAGCAGGGGAAGAGAGAGTAACATGTGTTTTTGCTTTGTTTTGTTTTATTGTCTCAGCCCATTAATGATAGCCTCTCCTTGCATTAACCCTTTATTTTTCAGAACTTATCGCATTGCACCATCTAACCACAAGAAAGCTAGAAAAAAAATAAAAGAATGAAAATGATAGTTGGTGGGCATTCTGTGTCAAAATATCATCAAACATTCCTTTCCTCTCATTGTTCCACATGAAGAACATACTCCACACTTCCCTGGGAAAGATGATCCAACTATCCCATCACTGTATCAAGTGCAAAGATCAAGTTCCTTGAGAGATGTGGACTAGTCTGTTAATCAATTTCAGTTATGGCTCCCATTGGTTTGCAAGTCAATTATAATATGAAGTTTAGATAATGAGTTATTTGCCTCCAATAGTAATATTAATGTTGGAGGAACAGAATAACCACCATAAACATAGCCATTTATAAAGGACACAAATAGGAGATACAGAGTCAGGATTAGAAGTCACCCTGAAGCACTATGTGACAGGTGCATGAAAAGGTCCTTACTTTGGAGGTGGTTTTACTTTCTGAGAGGTTGTTCTTAATCATGTCCCTTTACTAGTAACCCTTCCAGCTATTTTGCAGATATAGTTCCTGGATGTTCTTAATCATGGCCCTTTACTAGTAACCCTTCCAGCTATTTTGCAGATATAGTTCCTGGATGTTCTTAATCATGGCCCTTTACTAGTAACCCTTCCAGCTATTTTGCAGATATAGTTCCTGGATGTTCTTAATCATGGCCCTTTACTAGTAAACCTTCCAGCTATTTTGCAGATATAGTTCCTGGATGTTCTTAATCATGTCCCTTTACTAGTAACCCTTCCAGCTATTTTGCAGATATAGTTCCTGGATGTTCTTAATCATGGCCCTTTACTAGTAACCCTTCCAGCTATTTTGCAGATATAGTTCCTGGATGTTCTTAATCATGTCCCTTTACTAGTAACCCTTCCAGCTATTTTGCAGATATAGTTCCTGGATGTTCTTAATCATGGCCCTTTACTAGTAACCCTTCCAGCTATTTTGCAGATATAGTTCCTGGATGTTCTTAATCATGGCCCTTTACTAGTAACCCTTCCAGCTATTTTGCAGATACAGTTCCTGGATGTTCTTAATCATGGCCCTTTACTAGTAACCCTTCCAGCTATTTTGCAGATATAGTTCCTGGATGTTCTTAATCATGGCCCTTTACTAGTAACCCTTCCAGCTATTTTGCAGATATAGTTCCTGGATGTTCTTAATCATGTCCCTTTACTAGTAACCCTTCCAGCTATTTTGCAGATATAGTTCCTGGATGTTCTTAATCATGGCCCTTTACTAGTAACCCTTCCAGCTATTTTGCAGATATAGTTCCTGGATGTTCTTAATCATGTCCCTTTACTAGTAACCCTTCCAGCTATTTTGCAGATATAGTTCCTGGATGTTCTTAATCATGGCCCTTTACTAGTAACCCTTCCAGCTATTTTGCAGATATAGTTCCTGGATGTTCTTAATCATGGCCCTTTACTAGTAAACCTTCCAGCTATTTTGCAGATATAGTTCCTGGATGGCTACATTTCTTTACACTTTTTTTCCCTCTGTGCCTCTTTTAAATTTAAAGGGACTGGCTACTTTAAAGCTGTCAAGATTTCAAATGAAGACCACACCCTCATTGTGAGGTTCTGCAAAATATGTGTCCCTCAGGCTTTCTCATTTTTACTTTTACTGCTTGGGGTCAAGAAGCAGTTAGCTCTTTTAAATCTGGAGAAGTGAAATCTCTGACTTTGTCTGTTTCATGTACCAAGGAGAGCTCATCTGCTTCTTTTAACACATGGCCAAACACAGCCGTTAGTCATCAACCCAAAACACAAAGACTGCTTCTTAATCTCTTTCTATGGAGCTAAAATTGCGAGAGGCAAATGACCTTCCTCGCAAGTAACTGCAGACGACACTGCTACCACAGGATAACGTCGGCTGACATATTTTTTTGCTACATCTCCAACTGACTACCAGGCCAAAATCACGGTTTTGTTTGCTGGTTTGCAGTGGAAGTACCCAATTCTAGTGCACAATTTCTGTAGTAGTCAGGAAAGACAAGGTTGTGTTAACAAACCTAAGATGTATTATTTAAATAAAAAAGATAAAATTATTAACCAGATTATTGAAAAAAAAAAAGGAAGAGTATGTATTGGTAGGAAACTACGACCTGATATTTACAATACTGAAACCCCATAAGCTCTAAAAACAGAATCAGAATTTATAATTAATTTGACAATTAAGCCTGATTTTCCCTAAATTCTTTTGGGAATAAATGTTTCTTAATGCATTATGATGCAATCTCCAACAAACTGGAATGTTTTCTCACATGCACTGCAGTTGACCCTCCTAGTCAGTGCTCCACATCTGTGGATTTAACCAGCTACAGGTGGAAAATAGAAAATTTAAAAAGTGGTTGCATCTGTACTGCATACGTAGAAACATTTTTTTCTTGTCATTGTTCCTAAACAATACAGCAGAGCAATTAGTTACATAGCATTAGGTTGTATTAAGTATTATAAATAATCTAGAGATGATTTAAAGCATATGAGAGGATCTGTGCCAGATATATGCAAATATTATGCCATTTTATATAAGAGACTCAAGCATCCATGGATTTTGGTATCCTTGGGGGTCCTGGAACCCCTGGATACCAAGAGACTGTATTTTTATCATATTTTCA